ATAAAGAAACGAACGTGCGATTTATTCCGACGCTTCGACCTCGATAAAAAAACAATTTAAATTAGTAACATATCCCGGAGTGATCACCGTAACTGCTGTACAGGCAAAGCTGCTTGAAGATTTCCAGTTGTTGGGCGATTTACCGCAAGTCGTCTCTATCCTCCTTTTTTTCTGGCTTTTCTTATTGACTGTCGTGTCTCGTTCACTACCGTTCAGCCATAGCCAATGGTATCGGCCGGGTGCTATTGTATGCTTTGTAAGTCGAAGGAAAGAAGGGAGAAAGAAATGAATTCGTACTACGGTCCGTGTCCCCTTGAATAAGTTCAAGTTCAGGGAAACGCGAGCGTTTTGCGATGGGAGGCGCGATATTTCAACCAACAGTGATCCGATAGAGAAGAAGCCGTCTCTATCTCGCCAGTGTTGATCTAGACAAGAAACAAGTGGATCGTAGCTGCACCCGGTAATTTACTGAAGGCTCTGCGGATAATCCCTCGATAAAGTTGGCTCAAGTAGATACGATTCTATAGCGAGCACATACACGGAACTGGCAGAGAGGCAGGTGTAAATAAGTAAAAGCGCACAGATAGTAGACTATAACTGCGCTGTACAAGAAACAAGTGGCGAGTAATATTTGATTTATTTAATTATTGGTAAAATATCAAAATACATTTTGCTTCCACTAAAACATATTTTATCGAGTTTCCTGCGACATTGAGATACATTTCTGACGGGACAAACGACGTTGCTGTGTCACGACATCCGAGACAATAATTTCCAGCAAGAAACGAGACTCATGCACGTCTTACTAACGGCTGTTAACATTATCCGCGACCTGCGTGCGCGCGTATGCACATACGAACGCATCGCACACTTAACAGTCTCGACACACGCACGACGTGCACGGCACTCGATGAACCAAAACAAACCAGTGCCAGCGAGAGCGGGACAAGGAGACAAAGAGGAAGGGCAGAGCGAGAGAGGCGCGGGGAAAGGGGAGAGAGAAGGCGCGCGCGGACCAACAAACCCGCCTCCACACGCATTAACACCTTGAAAAGTAAAGCCGGATCTATAATGCATTGGTCGTATTGTAACGTCGCGAGTCGTAAGTCGTGGGCAAATTAACCAATCGTGGTTAATTATTTCAAAAATAATCAAACCACGATTGGTCAATTTGCCTTACGACTTGCGACGTTACAATACGACCAATGTGAATCCGACTTAATAAGCGCGCGATAGTGTGCGCACACGTTCGCGCACACTATCGCGCGATCCTCTCTCGGCTTTGGCCCCACGTCAAATTGTAAGTACACCCGCGGAACAAAAGCGCGCATTACGAGCAGCTGAAGTCGCTTTGTACGTTGCGTCATGTCGTCGATTGTTGCGCGAAGCAATTCTAATGACGTGTGTGTGCGCTGGAGGACATTAAGAGAGCCGTGCCAACGGCAGTTTGCCCGCTCGTAAGAAATACGACCGAACGATTTGAATTCGAGAGTTAGGAGGAGCGAGAGTCGCGCCTCGAACGTTGATACGTGCGGTTTCTTTTCTTTTCTTTTCTTTTCTTTTTTTTGTATACGTGAGTATTAAATATGAAATAAATTTGAGAGCACGCGGGCTGTAGAGCTCGTTATGCAACCATAAATTGCACGTCTCGAAAAGATCGCCGGTTTCCTCTCTGCCGCGCTTATAACAGTACCCGGTCGCGCGCGCGTTTTATATTTCAATTTTATCCTACATGCGCTATAAAACCGCGCGCTGTTATCGGCGGCACACCTGTTTTCTCTCTCTCTTGGGAGACATCGCGCGCGGAAAGAAAGATTTTCCGAGAGACTTTCACCCTTTTCCTGTCCCCTCCTGCTCCCCGCGCGCGCCGAGCCAACGTTGCTATTTAGCACCGTAAATACCCCGCCGTTCCAAGCGCGTTCAATCTCGACGTGCACCATCTCTCAGCGTTGCTTACGAACAAGTTCAGGCGAGCGCGGGAAGGAGGGGGGGACGAGAAGCAAGGGTGGAGGAGAGACGCGAGCAGAGAGAAAGAGAAAAACAGGGAAAGAGCGAGGGACGTGGGAAGGAGGGAGGGGGGACGGTGGCATTGGTCGGAGCGAGAAAATAGGCAAGGTAACGGAGGAACAAAGACGGAGGGACACGGAGGAAGGGGGAGGGTGCGCTCTCCCCTCACACCGACTCCCGCGAGCGCATGCAGTTTAAGACGCACACCGGGGACCGTGTTTCCAGCACGCACACACGTGCGTGAACCAGTCTAACCACCTCATCACGAACAATCTCCTCGTGTTACTCTTTTCTCGTTCTATCCCGCTCCTCGTCTGCCGTACGCCGCGAGGCAGGGCCCTCTTTGTTCAAAGGCAATCAGCAGGCCCCGATAACGGGCCTACTCTGTCGTAACCCAAGACATGAATACACACGGACGCATCGACGGGGAGCACCGGAGCACGAGAGAGAAAGAGAGAGACAGAGGGAGTAAAGGGGGGAGGGGGGAGGACGTTGTATACGAATACACGCGCATCCTCGGCGCTCTTTTGTGCAAGTGAGAGATGTGCGTAAAAGATTCCCTGTAATAGAAAAACGAATCGCCACGGAGATCGTTTTTATCGAGACGCGCGAGTTTCTTGAGGTCTTGAGAGAGAGAGAGAGAGATGGAGAGAGTCGGCTACGATGTATACGGTTAGCGGCTTGTAGAAACGGTAGCACCGCGATTGGATGCTTCTTTTTCGCGACTCGTTTAACGAGCCAGGTCCGACCAGTCATTGATATGCAGAAACAATTTGTTAGCGTAGATAGCAATGTCGTGATGGAGAGCAGGTGAAGCAGCCACGTTTCTCGCGGGAACGAATCCTACGATCGAGGCTCTCGCATTAGTCGTCGAATCGACAATTCGTAATCCAATTAACGCCGTGCGCGCGCGCGCGCGGACGCATAAACATATGATCAAAGGATTGATCGCGCAAGGCGAGCCGTCCCGTTATAATTGCTCCGACTACCAGTGTTAACGACTTTGCAAATTAAGGAGAAATTTCATTTCCGATTGATGAATCCTACCGTAACGACCGAGGCAAACGTTCATAATTTAGTAATACAAGAAGCGAAGCTTCCGAGATTATTTATTTCGTATTGCCTCGATAAGGCTACCGATCTCTTCCTGCATGATAATTCAAAAGATCACACTCATACACGCACATTACTCTTTTGTAATAAATCTTTAACAAACGATTCTGTTGTACTTCCTGCAGTATCAAATGCGATGCAATCATTACGATATAAATACCTTGAAGAGATAATTTAGAACTTGTACCTTTAAATCGACAAATATTTTGTTTTGTCGCATATTAAATGCGCAACGAATTGCATAATTATTTATCAAACGCATTTACACATACAAGAATTTATTAAGTTTATATTATATGTGTTATCTAATTTTTGATCAAGATATTCGACGTCCAACTCTATGCAAATAATGCACAGGTAGCGATCGAATTAAGAACGATATTGCGCGTTGCAACTGCATCTCCAACAAGCTTGCCGCCAACGCAGCCATTTATATTCTAATTTAGCGTATTAAAGACTCGGTTCGAAGCGCGAGAACGTCTCTCTCCCTCTCTTCCGAGCACTCGCAGCGAGCAGCGTTTCCGACCACGAGTAGTACGACTCTCGTTGCCTAATGTCATGCATCGGAAACCGACTATACTCCGTGAAGGTGCAGAAAGAGAGGAGAGATCCAGGTCGCGACACGCATGAGTGCGCGCGCGGCGCGGAATTATTACGAAATATCTCGGAGCTGTCCGCGGAGCGTAGGACTATGGAGAGCGTTTAGGACCGGTTGCGATTTACATAGATCGTCGTTCGACGGTGACGGCGATGCGATCGGACCGGAGTTATTAATGGGAAAATACTACGAACGCGATCGCGATATCGTCGGGCGCAGCAGCCCGTTCGATCGAAAGGTGGTTCGCGCTTCCTCGTCCTTGGCGGTCACCCTTCTTATCATCGATAGGCATACGTCGCTTCCGCGATGCGCGTCTAATGTCTTCCGATTGACGCGCGATAATCCGTCACCGCCAATCTGAATATGTCAATACATCACCTCTTTTGCATTAAGATCGACGCCTAGTTGACTCGGTCGCGAACGATGGGATATATGGATAACGTCTGTTACGTTATTTGCATGTAATTTAATTAGATCGCGATATTGTTTTTGTTAATTGACGACGGCGAGTGATTTACTTTAGATCAAATACATGCGTGCATATCTCTTATTATATATCGTTATAATTATTATCATTATTATTTCTAAAAATACGTGCCGCGTTATGCAACGTTTCGACGTATAAAGTGTCGATCTAATTACGATGCTGATGATATAGAATATCGGGTAAACAACGTGCTCGCGGCAAATAACGACTTTCAGGACGCATCGCGTGATCGGCTCGCTCGAAAATACCGCGTACGTGATTTTCTGCTACGGGGAACCTCATAGCAGGCTGCCGCCCTCGGTCGGTTCTACGAACCCCGCGACCTCGAGAAATACCCCCGAGTGAGGAAACGATAGGTGAGAGACGAGCAGGGAGGGGAGAGGGAGTAGCGCGGTGCAGCGAAGGCGGTAATCGACGGCGAAAGGTAACCGCGTCTCTCCGCCGTACGTCGTCTTTACGCATATTCGTAGTAACCTAGAAAGGAGCCGGAGTGGCGCGTGCTGTTGTACACGAGGGACAGATTGGCGGTCCGCAGTGTGCACCGACCGCACGGCGATCATGCGCACGTATATGCCTATCTATCTATACCTATGCGCGATACCTGTATATATATGTATGTATGCACGGTGCATTACTTTCGCCGTTCGGTGAACCGCATCAATGCCATCGCAAAGCACGGCTGGTTAACTGAGCTGGCTGGCTGGCTGGCTGGCTGGCTGGCTGGCTGGCTGGCTGACTGACTGACTGGCTGGCTGGCTGGCTGGCTGGCTGGCTGGCTGGCTGGCTGGCTGGCTGGTTGGTTGACTGGTCGGCCAGCGCTCGAACAACGTTGGTCGAGACCAGGTATCCGCAGTTTCGAGTCGACGACGGCGGGACTGCCTGGAGAGAAACTGGTCATCTGGAACCGGAGTTGTGCTACCGCGGAGTTGTGGACCTGGTCGTGTCGAGGTGGAAGACGTGGGTTCGAGCTCGGGACAGCTGGGCAGATACGTCGGCCCACGCTGCAGGCCGCTCGTAACGTATTGCATTATAAAGTACAGGACAGGTCTTCTCTCTCTCTTTTTCTCTCTCTCTCTCTCTCTCTCTCTCTCTCTCTCTCTCTCTCTCTCTCTCTGTTTTCCTCGCGCTAGCAACCTCCTTTTTCGTCTCTTCTTTCTCTCTTTCACTCGCCTTCCGCGTCCGTTGTGATGCGTAGGAAGCGAAAGTGAAAACGCAGTTGCTAAATGCGTGCAGGTAGAAAAAACCGACCGGACTATGGTCGTTCTCCGTCATTCCAGGTGGAAGGATTCCACCCGGATTCTCCCAGGTTTAGACGGACTCATAATATATCTGTCGAACTGAATACATCTGTAATTTCCCAGCGACCAAATATTTATCCGAGAGAGAGTTGTACTAGAGCTCAGAGATATATAAACTTGGCTACAAGAGGCTTGTCTTGATATATGCGCAAATAAATATAAAAGATTTTAAATTATTAACTCTCTCAAACGCGTTTCCAATCTTTTTTCAATGTTCGAACTAAATCAACATATTACCTTAAGGCTTTATTATTATTATAACGTACACCATTTATGATTTATCGAGAACCGAAAAAATGCATGATGAATGATTAACGGAGTAGAATTACATTACAGTTATTTCCCGAGGTAATCCGCTTCCTTATACAGGCATCTCGACTTCCTAGAACTCGTACTCCAATATCGAAGAAATTCTTCTGTAAAAAAAAAGAGAACACAATCTTACAATTGATACATCCTACTCTTAAGAAATGCAATCTAGATAATATGAAGCGTGTTACAAACTAACGGCGCCATTTTAATATCCATTTACAAATTTTATCGTTTTACGCAAAATCCTCTCGTTATCGATAAGTGGCTTCCTAACGCTATCTAATTTATCAGGATAAAACTATAAATTGTCTGGTCCGTCGTCTCGTACCCAGCGTGATCTGCGACGGGGAAGGAAAGGGACGAGAAGGGACACGAAGAAGGACAAAGTGCCGGTATATTTAATGGCAGTTAAGAGCGGAAACTGGTATTGGTACAGTTCTGTCCGCGCACGCTCGCATACACTCTCGGCGTTCGTCGGTGTTGTTGTTATTGTAGCATCGGTGGTGGGGTGTGATGCAGGTGTTGGCCTTGGGCTCCCTAACACCGAGCCTACAATCTCTAAGGCTCGCCTATATGCGTATTTCTCGTACGTTCCGTACGCACCACCTCGCCGTCGTTGCGAGATGTAAGCCCATAATGCGATATTCCATCGATCCGTCGAGCCTTTGTTTAGGTATCACGGAGATACATTGGATTTTTTCAATTAAAACGCGTTGAATTCGCGACGATTTCGTGCCGTCCCGTCGAAAGTCCAAAGTCGCTCGATTTCTCGTCAGAAAATTGTAGACGGACTCGGTCGAAACCCCACGCCCACGCGATCAAGGATTTCGATGCGATTAGAACGGCTGATGCAAGGACAGCGGACTTTCCAGCGCGGAGAGAGATCTATCATTGAATTAATTCGTTTGAATGGGGCAGACGTGGATAAGCTACGATCGCGACGTCTGGCTCCCGATTTATCGCGATGGCAATTACTGGAACACCTTCGAATATAATAAGCTGTTCTAGCCGTAATCATATTAATCTTTGCTATAATTGCTACGCTCTATTTATAAATTATTATTTCATCAATTTACACAGTCGGTCGCGCCGTCAAATGTTGATGTTGCGCCTAAGTATAGCGTGCATCGCTCGTAAGTTTATCCCCTCGGCTGTGCCACATAACGAGAGACCGGTGTCGAGGGACTCGCATGAATATGCACGGGTTTCCGCGACGAAGGACGAGGAAGGCGTCGGAAACGGCCAGGCCGGCCAGGTTGGACCGTCGCGGATTTATCTCGCGCCCAGCGAGGTCGCCCATTAACCATTTTATCGCGCGCACATATTGTTATTATTCCGGGCGCGCGCTTTTATGCAAAGCAGGCGAGAGGACGCGCCTACGGCGCGCGGGAACGACCGATCGACGGAAGAGGTAACCTTGGAGAAAGTAGACACGCGGCCGATCATCTCCGGCTCCGGCTCCGCGCTTCGGGGCGCTCGGCGTGGCTTTCCAGCATCGAGCACGAATAAATTACCAGCGATACCGTTACTGTCTCGCGCTCACCGCCACGCCGCGTTTACTCCGATGGCACCGGCCACGCACGCATCGGAGAGATGTTCGGGATTTCCAAGATTGATGCCGTCGAGCCGAGCGAGAGCGCGGAGGTCAATATTTGCTGTCATAATATCGCTATTACGGCCAAGTCGCATCGCGACGCGATATATACACGGGGCGCGTGATTAATACGGCCGAGAGTTCGGCACGATGAACTGTTAAGTAAGCATATTTGCGCTCGTGGATACGATTCGAGCGAACGCCGGGATGAGCTGGAAACAAATAAATATTCGATAGCGAATGTTTGATCAGCGACGTGTAGTTCGATCCGATTATCGACGGCGAATTAAAAGAGCAAGGTAAACGATAAATAGACGGAACGATCAACGTCGTATTTACTCTCGATTCGTTTTGAAAATTAATTTTTATAATTTAAGTAAATTAAACTCGCGATAATTAATCGGTAAAGAAATTCAACGGTAATTTATCGCCCGTTAATGCGCGGAAACGCAAGCGTTAAATGAAGAGATGTGGAATAAATTATTGTCAATAAGTACCGGGCGCGCAATTTGCCTCTCCCACGCGAACACCTGGTACGGTTTATGTATATGACCGAAGGGTGTATTGCATCAAGCCGTTTCATCATCCCGCACGGCTTTTCGCCTTCACGCTCGCAACAATGAACCGATTCCGTAGATTTCCCGTGCGCACTCGCGTCAAACATCCTCGCCTATTTCCGTCGTCCGTTTCCGTCAACCTGCTTTCGTCGCGAATATATTTCGCCGCGCGGTTGCGACACTGGCGGATTGCCAAGGTCTCTGAGTCTGAATGCAACTGCCGATATTATTACGCTCGCGACGCTTTTATAAATAAACTCGATGAAGAAGGAAAATAGAGAGATAATTTTTTCATTTTGCACAAAGCAGAAAGGAAGAATTTAAAATAAATTTTCCGCGGTGATTTTCATAATTGAATTTAATTGAAAAAATATCCTCATCATTTGTGTTTTTTTTTTCGTTAATTAATAAAAAGAAAAAAATCACAAGAAATAAATCTATTCGAGAGAAGAATCTCGAGATTACCTGCGATCGTACGATGCGTGACGTCAGGATCGACCACGTGTCGAAGAAGGGGATGTCGAAAGGATCCTGTACGGCTGGTAGTTCCAGGAAGAGGTAGTTTCAGGATATAAATATAAAGGGATACTTCTTCAGAAATAGCTACATACATCTAACGATTCGATAATAAAACGAAACTGACACGCGTTATACGTAAACAGGTCTTTCACTGATATGAAAAATAATCAAACATCACATGTGAAACGAGTCAGCTGTACTCGGTGTCCTATCATTGGTCTGACCGTGTTATGTTATGTAATATGAACCCAAGTGACACACTTGTTAGATTTCCAACTGTAAAAATATACCCTACGAGTTATTTAGATTTTCTCTCACGATACAAATTTCGAATCATTCACGTTTTTAGATTCGATGTAAACCGGCATCTCGGTTTGCATCGCGTAAATATGATGATTATTATTATATAGATATATTCTTCTCTCGCTTTCCAAGACGCTAAAAATTCAACAAGCGATTACTGCAATAATTTAGTCGAAAGAGCCGCAAATATATACACGCGTCACCATCAGAAATTATCGCCATTAAGCTAGTGCGTAATTGTCGGTGTTGCACATGTACAACGCACACTAAGAGATCACGTAACGATACGCATCCCATAATAGACAGCAACGCATATTGTGCTCGGATATCTACATAATGCTAGATTCACATAGATTTACATCATTATCAGGATTTCTTCACTCTTGTTTCTCCATCCTAATTTTCACACAATAATTATATCAATAAAGTATACAAGTATATATGATATAAAACTTTTTCAGATCGAATTAATTGGACATTCATTGACATATAGATTAGATTGTTAGTCTAGCGGACGAATAGAATTTCGTCGATGAGTTTTCGAGAGTTCGTCGACTCTCCTCAAAGATGTTTACATCGAGAAAGTGTTGTAGTATTCGAGGGCAAGCCGCGAGACGCGATGTGGAACCGGCTTAAGCCTCTCTTCGTGACGATGCTCGCGGTCGAGCAGTGCGCCTCGTGACGTCAGCGGTGACCACGTGCTGAACAAGAGGGAGAGTCGGGGAGTAGAGGAGCCTCTCCATGTGCCTCTCTCGTATCGTATGGAGCGTGGCCCGGGGATCAAGGACGGTTTTACTCGCGAGAAGCGGAGCCGCGTGTCCCTGCATCTCGTCGCGAGGAGAAGAGGTGGAGAAGGAGAGGAGGTTCGTGCAGGGGGCAAGAGTGGCTCGAGGGACGGAAAGGCAGCGGGCGAAGGCGGGAAGGGGGTTGGGGAGCGAGGAGCGAGGTGAGGGCAACGACGGAGGAAAGAAAGACTGCAGCGCGAAGGAGAGAGGGGCGGCTCGAGTTATAATGCTCCGCTCGTACACTGTCCCGAGGAGGTGAGGAAGAAGGCGAGAGAGAGGAACTCGGGGATAGAGCAGGAGAAACGGAGAATATACTGTCCACTTGCTCGCTCGAACCTCTCTCTTTCTCTGTCTTATACGAGTCCGCCGCTCCGCAATTCCCTCCGCTCCCTTCATCCTCGTTGCACTCTGCGAAGAGATAAAGAGAGAGACGGAGAAGGGGAAGGGGCAGCAAAAAGAAGAGGTCAGAAGGGAAGAGAGGGCGGTGGGGGAGGTGAGGGAAGGGTAGGAAAACGTGTCCCAACCTGCACGATCCGGTACAATCTCTGCCAGCAATTCTGACCATAACAAAACTGAAGACAACTCGAGAAGATTTTTTAGTGTGATCAAACATTTTTTCAACAGCAAATTTTTAAGAAAAAAATCTTTGTATTTTACTTTGTATTCTAAAAGAAAGAGAATTTAAAAAATAATAAATTTCATAATGCACTTTTCTGTTGCTTAAATAAGCAATTGCGCGAATTGGCTCTCATTGCTTACTTTATTTCTTCTTTAAATAAAAATTTCTTATAGTGTACGCAGCATTTGCGTAAATATAAATATAAATTCATAATAATATAATTCATATAATTCATATTAATATAAATATAAATTCATATTAAAATAAAGATTTGGAATATGTATGTAGATAAATAACGCAGAATTTGCGTAAATATAAATATAAATTCATATTAATATAAATTCATAATAATATAATTCATATAATTCATATTAATATAAATATAAATTCATATTAAAATAATAATTTGGAATATGTATTTAGATAAATAACGAATCATTAACATTAATATTTTTTTCTCATATTATTTCTATTCTGTAATTTTATGTTCTATATTTTTAGCGTATTCATTTATTTCACCAACTCGTTCAATTTCAATTAATATTTTAAAATATAAAACTATTCTGTATTTAAATACCGTTACACTAGCTTTCGAAAGAAGGGTCCACAGGCAAGTCTATAAATATTATATCCTAATCCGTTCGCTAAATATTGCCGCATCTGAATATGCGATCGTGTGATTATGCAAAGATTTGCGAGCGAAATTATGTAAAAAAATGTTGCCGCG